AGGTAGTAAATCAGTACAGTGATGAAAGCTAAAAAGAGTTAAAATATGAAGTTGGGATAGAACAGTGGTCAGAACAGTGGTCACCAACCAGTAGACCGGGATCTATTGGTAGACCGTGGAGCCTCTGACAGGTGATCCTGACAGGTTTGGCCAGGAGGCTGTCAAGTAACGGCATTTCATTTGTCCCTCTAAATACTACTGTGTTGCTCCTGCCCTCTGCCTTGGAGCTAGCCCTCTAGCCCCTGCAGCCTCTTGCTTGCTGTGCAGGGTACAGGAAGAAGAGGAGGGGGTGCTGATGTCCGGGTGCTTCTCCCTTCACCCCATCTCCCGAGAGCGAAGAGGGCAGGGATAGAGAGAGTCTGCTGGCTGCTTTTGATAGCTGTGCAGGGCCAGAGATGGGGTAAGCCTGGCTTAGTCCCCTGCATCACCACCCAGAAGCCACTGTGCTAAGCAGTGCCCAACTGGAGCCTGCATTCCAAATCCCGGCCCAAGTCCTGAACCCTTCCTGTACCCCAAACCACTGCCCTAGCCCTGAGTCCCCCTGCACCCAAACTCCCTCCCAGGGTCTGTATCTTGAACCACCTACTGCACCTCTACTCCCTGCCCCAGGCTCAGCTCAGAACCCCTCCCACACTCCAAATCCTTTAGCCCAAGATCAGAGTCTGCAGCCACCTCCCCTACATCTCAGCCCTCTGCTCCCAGCCTGATAAAAGTGAGGATGGGAGGGGAGGGAGGAGGAAGAGGATGGAGTGAGCAAGGGTGGGGCCTTGGACAAGAAGCAGAAAGCAGGTGGGGCAAGCATGTTTGAGTTTGAGGTGGATCCTGGATTACATTTAAATTCAAAAAGTGATCTCATGGTTAAAAAGGTTGGAGACCACTTAGGAAGTTTCCCAAATGCCTAAGATGACATTTTATAGCCAGTTACATTTTCAAGTAACAGAACACATTACACATATACAACTAACCATTTTAAATTAGCCAAACAATCTAACTCGCCAACCTCTAGCTTTTCAGACAATACTGTCCTGCAGCTGAACCATCTTCAGCGCAATGTTTTAAAAACTTCTTAAGTCTTCAGCCTTGGTTATGGATAACAGCTGAAGTTGTGACCTAGAGTTGCAATAGCTGAGCTTCATCTCTTTCTGAAAAGACTTCAGTGCAGTATTTCTCTCTCCTGTTCTTTTGAGATCAATTCAGAATCCATCACTACTTATGCAATAGAACATGTTGATACATGTGCTCGCATCTGTGTTTAACTACACTTTTTTCTATCTCTTGGCAACTCTTCTGTGCCAACTGCTTAGAAAATCCTTCAACAAAATCCATTAGCACGAGAGCAGCACCTCCTTAATATAACCACTATCAGAAATTAAGTTCTTCTCTTGAGACTTAAAACTTCCAAGAAGATATGCAAGAAGTCCTCTGGCATCTTATAGACTAACAAGATTTATTGGAGCATAAGCTTTCATGGGCAAAGACCCACTTCATCAGATGCATACTAAGCTGTGCATGCATCTAACGAAGTGGGTCTTTGCCCACGAAAGCTTATGCTCCAATAAATCTGTTAGTCTATAAGGTGCCACAGGACTACTCGTTGTTCTTGCTGGTTCAGACTAACAGCTGCTCCCGATACAAGAAGATATGAACATTCAACAGATTCTAGAACTCTGATAGTTCTACAGCCAAGAGTTCCCATTTGGTCTTCTATAAATAAACAAACAATTAGAACCTTCTGCTTGATTGAAGGTGAAGTTCAATGGAGTATCTGATCAGCTGTTTGTCGGCTCAGCGCAGCAACCATGTAAATTTAAATGAAGCGGTGATTATTTAAATCGTTGCTTCATTTTCCTATGTCCGGTAGCCTAATCTACATGCCTCTGGCAACAGAGGCATGTAGTCTAGGCGTACCCTGAGTATGGCTAAGTTGTTCATGCACATATCTAGCATACATCAATGAATCATGGCATACTGGAGAATGGCTAAATGGATATTTGAAGGGGGAGTGAACTAATGTTAAGTTTCAATATAACATTGAGGCAACAGAAACAGTATTTTAGCATCTAGAGATAGCTCCCTGCCTATAAATACCTTCTCATACACCCACGAGTCTCAAGTTTTCCATTACTGTGAATTTGCACCTGATGCTGTTGTAAGTTTTTTCCAACAAGTCTGGGGGTTGAAACAGCATAAATCTTCCTTGCAATATACTTTCCTAGCATCAACTTTATTTTTACAGGACACTAATGTCTTAGTGCATGATAATGAACTACTTCTCATACATGAACAAATTTTCCCTTATATGCATCTACAGCCAAAAGAACTAATGCACTTGACTACTCCCAAAGTTACTATTAAGTGGCTTTAATTAATCACGGCAACCATCTTACCTGCTTCGTGGCCATAAAGCAGATCTGGATCTGGACCTGGACCTAGACCTAAAGTTTGAGGAAAATTAATGAAAACCAACTCAGCTCCACAATAAGAATTCCTGTTTTAATACAGGAATACAGTTAGAAAGGTACAGCATTTGCGGTATAGGTAAAAAATTCCATCAAGCAATCAATACTGCAGCAGTAATTTTATTATCTGAGTAGGATCCTGTTTGCCAGTTTTAGACAGAGGCAGTTTTTCCAAAAAAATCAGAATTCCAACACTCAAACTTGGCAGGTTGAGGTCATTGATAAGCTTACATTATACTATGTAAAAGAATTTTTATTTACATAACTGTTTAGGGCTTTGACCTCAGTACTTAATGCTGTTTAGAGTGCAATTTTCTTCACAATCCTTAAGAACATAACTAAGATGGCAAAATGTATTAAGGGTAGGCCAGAACCTAAGACTAGCTAAACATGCAGTAACAAAAAATAATGAGAACTGTTCCTATAATATTCACTTCAGTTTGAGGGGAAGATTCCAAGTTGATATGTCTGGTCTTAAAAGCTGTCACAATATATTCCCCAAACAAAGAATGAATTTCATATGACCATAAAATATTATGCAATCACTACCATAACAGAAATACTGGCTGAGAAGCATAATACAAAACCATTACCTTGATCTTTTTAAGGAACGTGATCGGGACCTGCGGGGTGAGGCCGATCTAGATCTACGAGGTGAGACAGACCTCGATCTTCGAAGGGAAGCAGACCTAGACCTGGAAAAATTGAAGTCACAGGAGACCCTCACAATTCATGGAATTGTTATTTGAAAATCCATGCATCTCTCCAGTCCAAGCCCTACCTGTTCCTGCCACCAACCTTCCCTCCCCCCCATTGCACCCCATTCCCCAGGCTGGAGGGACAGAAACACTGCCGCACAGCACCCTGCAATGCGACAGTGGGGAAGGCCTGTTGCCTGGCAGTAGCAATCAGCCTGCACTGCCGCCCCGCCCTGCCCCCCGCCACCAAGCCAGAAGGAAGCAGAGCACTCACTCTACTTCCATTCAGTATTTGCTGATTTCACCCTCTGCAGTGGTATCAGGAACATATCCACCACAAAGGGCCAGGATTTTCTGAATATAGTACTATACTTGTCTTTAAAAAAGGTGAATTGGTCATCTGACTTCTTAAGTCAAGCACAAGGCTGTCTGAAACTCACCTCCTTCCGCGGCTTCGGCTGCGTGACCGAGAATACCTTCTTCCTCTGGACCTTGAATGAGATCTAGACCGCGACCTAATGTTAGGTTGGAAAAAGTAAGTATTAGAAAACAATCTTACGCTATTACTGCACGTGAGCCTCTGCCGAAGTTAAAATTTCAGACAACTAATAATTAGTGTCTGTCACTTGGAAAAACTCAGGGCCTATTTGCTTTGAGTATTTTTACTACCTAGGAAAGATGTTAAGCTGAATTACATTTTAGAATTACATTATAATATAAAACACTGTAATGCGTATTTAAAATAAACCTTGCAAGTTTGCAGGTCGACCCTCTTTGGCCCAAGGTCTAGCAGATCTAGACGATCTAGAAGTATCTATAGCCGATCGCTGCATCTAGGTGTTCTCTTCAATCTAACGACGATCAAACTGACAGCCAAATGAGCCAGGGTGAGGCTTGATTGACGCAAGAAGATTTTTCTAGGTGGGAATGTGGTCAATCTGGTGTTCCTCTTTCTAAACCGGAGGGGGGCCCCAATTGAAAGCCAAATTTACTGTTACGGCGATCACCGTCTCAAATTTTCTGCCCTTTAAGAATAAGGTGAAGCTAGGTGTAGATGGCTCGAGGGGATCTGGCCTCTTATGCTGATCACCTCAAGGTCTAGGAGAATCTTAATTGTCGGATTTTGCAAGGCGCCTCAGCATGAAACCTTAAGGCTTGTGACATTCTGAATCAAGGCGACTGACTCAAACGAAGAAACCTGAAAGGTTTTGACCAGGTTGATTATTAATATATTAACATTGAATATGAAATAACAAATTGTAATAAATATCTGTATAATTACAGCATTAAAGTTAAATTAAATTGGTATAACATTTTATGGCTAATGGCTGCACCAGTAACTGGTGAAAAAAAGAACCAATCACTCCTTTCACACAATACCTGCTCCGCCTTCGTCGACTATAACGATGACAGTCATAAGCATAATGGCCTTTCTCGCCACACTCATAACACCGGTCATTAGGATCAAATGGTCGCCGTGCGGGAGGTCTGTCATAGCGGGAGCGACGAGGCATGCCAGTTGACAGCTCAACCCTCACTCGGGAGCCACAAATCACCCTGTAATTTGATATATTCAAAATAGTCATTATTAATCTGGTATTTTCCCTTATCTAATACCTATTAAATAAGAAAGCCAGTCTCTAAAGAACCACTAAAATGTGAAACCCCCATTGTTGTTAAAGAGCTATAGCTTTTAAGACCTAACACTTAGGTCAACCTAGCTACATTGCTCTGTGGTGTGAAAAAAACCTGTACCAGTCCTTTTGTAGAAACAGGAGGTTGATGGAAGCCTGGTCACTTGAGGTTTGTACTGTATAGGAAATGGTGTCCCGACTCTCTGTTTCTCTGGAGGTGGATGACGGGAGGGATCACGTGAGGATTACCTGTTGTGATCCCTCCCTCTGGGGCATCTGGCATTGGCCACTGTCGGCAGACAGGACACTGGGCTGGATGGGCCATTGGTCTGACCCAGGATGACCGTTCTTATGTTCTACTACAGTGATGAAGATGCTTGCAGCGCAGTCACAACCTTAGTAAGAGTTAAGGGCTCCAGAAATGCAACACATTCGTACTTTCCATCCAAACCTCGAACTGCATCTTCAGCATCTCTTGGGTCTTCAAATTCTACAAAGGCAAATCCCGGAGGATTTCTTGCTATCCACACTGTGCGCAGGGGACCATAGTAGCTGAATGCTCGCTCCAGTTCGCCCTTTCCGGCCCCAGTGCCCAGGTTTCCCACATACACCTTGGTCTCTGCAAAAGCAAGCCACATTGTCACTGAATGACTGAGTAGCTCACAAATGTAATGTTATTGCTATTGGTACTATTTGCTACTGGGAGCAGTTACTAACTCCTCGGTGTTCTTTTTTTGCTTCGCTATCACACTTTGGTCTCTGCCTTTCCCATACTTCCTGCCCAGGTAGCAAACTGTGACAGGAGACAAACCTGTGACAGCTTACTACTTCTCACCTTCCTGAAATGTGGGGAGGACATATGGAGCGGATGCGGTGAGAGGCTCTGGGGGAAATGGCTGAACACATTTTGCGCACAAATGAACAATTAGCAGACTGACTGCTCCGGACAGATCAGGCCCCAGATGATGCTGTGCGTTTGACTCTAGACCAGTTCCCAGACTATGGGTGGGTGGTGACCTGAGCTTCCCAGGGCAATCATTAGACTTACTACTAGGTCTCAAGGCTGAAGCTCCACCTCCAGCCTCACCTGGGGCAGGCTCAGGCTGTGGGTCCTTCTGTACCCCACCCAGGATGGTGGGGCACAGGCTCCATCCCCTTCCTGGGGTCATGTAGTGACAGAAGGGGTTACAGTGCAGTGAAGTTTGAGAACCCTGCTCTAGACGGTGCTGTGCATTTGAAGGATTTCTTTTAAACTTGCATTGCATTACACAAAGTTGTTGCTATCTGTTCATGAATCCATTTGCTAGAGTGTGCAAAGGGACTCTCTGGATTAGCGATGTTGGATATCATGTAATTGATTAGTCATGCAACTGCATGAAATCTTAGCGGTTACACGACTATTCTCAGCCAATGTACTCCTGGCCCCACCGTAGGGGAGCCCCCTGCCACTCCACGTTGCTGCCTATCAGAGGCAGCAGCGTGGGGTGGCAGGCAGGAGGCGGAGGCA